ACCAGGAATTGAACTCACAACCTTGTGCTTGCCAGACAGGCTGAGGTCTGTCCCCAGCCCTATGCTCATTTGACAGGAAGGGAAATTAATAGTCAGAGAGGCTGTCACTTGTCTCAAGTAACAGACTGGGAAGAGACCCCTATCCTTTTCTTTCCTCTTATTCCAAGCCTTTGTCCATAAAGCCCCAACTTTCTTCCAACCCACAAGTGGGCAAACTACCTGGACAAACAGGTTCCTTCCCCTTCCTCACCGCCTTCCTCCCCAGACCGCGGTATCATCATGACCTTTGGCAGTGGCAGCAATGGGTGCCTAGGCCACGGCAGCTTCACTGACATCAGCCAGGTGGGTGTCACGTGTACTCTGAAAAGGGGAAGTGAGAGGATGGCGAGAAGCCCGCATCTGAGAGCTGACACCAGGCTAGCGGCAGGGGAGTCCCCAGCAGCCACCGTCCTACTAGCTCCTGGGCCACATCTGGGGAAGAATAGAAAGGCCAGGCCAGGGGTTGCCCGCCTGACAGAGGTCACGTACAACTGTAGTTGAAGACAAAAGATCCCTGCTGGTGCCTAGGCCCAGATCTCTTGCCAGTCTCTCCTGCCTTCTTCCCTCTCTCTAGCCTACCATTGTGGAGGCCCTGCTGGGCTATGAGATGGTGCAGGTGGCCTGTGGGGCCTCTCATGTGCTGGCCTTGTCCACAGAGCGAGAACTGTTTGCCTGGGGCCGCGGAGATGGTGGTAAGTCCCTCCCATCCCATAGTGGAAATTGAACCCAAGACCTTCGGGCTAAGCTGGTACTTCCACTGCTGAGCTAAATCCCCGGCCCCTTTTCTAGTTTTTGAGACAAAGTCTTGCATTGTTTCTCAGGCAGGGTTTGAATTTGGAATTCTCCAGCCTCAGCCTTCCAGAGTACTGAGATGACAGACTCCTGCTCATTCTCCTCCTAGTCTCGACTTCTTTTCATGGATTCAACAAACTTTTATACTCATTGTGTACCCACCCTCCTCTGAGTGCTGAGACAAAATGAATGAGATGTGGCTTTCATCTGGTGCTTGTGATGTAACAGATTTCATTCTCGCAGCACCTGCCTGCTTCCCTCCTTTTCTCTTCCTCCCTTCTCTGTCTCTCGTTCTGTCTTTCTTCCTTTTTTCTTTTTCCTTCCTCCCTTCCTTCCTTCCTTCCTTCCTTCCTTCCTTCCTTCCTTTCCTATAGTTCTGGGACTCAGACTTGTGGCCTAGCACTTGCTAAATAAATGTTCTACCACTGAGCCAAACCCCTGGTGTTTTACTGAGGCCCTTATTGGGCCAAGTATTAGGCTGGATGTTGAAACTAGAGATGACAAAGATAAGTCCCCGTCCTCCCAGAAGACTCAGTTTACAGTAGGGACAGAGGACTTGTCGGCAGCATGGGAGGCATACCTACAGTTCAGACAAGTAGGAATTCAAGAATAGTAGTGTTACCTTGAGGAGACAACAGTAGTATTTGGACAGGGCTTTGCTTTTATTTTTATTTATTTTTTAAGTTTTTGTTGGTTTGCTTTTTTGAGACAGGGTCTCGATTTGTAGTGCAGCCTGGCTTTGATTTCACTGTATAGCCCAGGCTGGCCTCAAACTCACAGCAGTTCCCCTGCCTCAGCCTCCCAAGTGCTGGGTGGCTGAACAGGGGTTTAAAGGAGGATTGTGCCCAGCAGAGAGGACTAGGAAAGGCATTTCCGGCTGAGGATAGCCTTTGCTCACGCTCTTCCCACCTCAAAAGTCTTCTCATTCTAGCATCCCCAACACTAAAACTCAAGAGTATCTGTTTCTTCTTACAGGCAGGCTGGGCCTAGGCACCAGGGAGTCTCATAGCTGCCCACAACAGGTGCCCATGCCCCCAGGACAGGAAGCCCAGCAGGTTGTGTGTGGCATCGACTCCTCCATGATCCTCACTGTGCCTGGCCGAGCCCTGGCCTGTGGGAGTAACAGGTGAAATAGTTGCACTGGGGTCATTAGTCTGCCCCTCACCTTCTTTGGTACCAAGTGTTCCATTCCTCATTGCCTCCCTCTCGGCAGGGACCAGAACCTAAAGGGGCTGGGGGTGCTGCTTAGTTCAATTAAGGGTCAGGTCTTACTCCAGGAGGGGCAGATCATACTAGCCCCTGCCCAAATAGGTGGAGGCCAGGCAGTCTGTACAAACTGTTACTTGGATTTAGCTTCTGGCTCTGCTCTGAGGTTCAACAAGTTGGGCCTGGACCACCTCTCCCTGGGGGAGGAGCCTGCACCCCAGCAGCAAGTGGAGGAGGCCCTGAGCTTCATACCGTTATGCTCTGCACCCCTGGACCAGGAGACCTTGCTGAGTGTGGACCTGGGCACTGCTCATTCAGCTGCAGTGACTGGTGAGTATCACCCAGGCACAGAGACCTAAGGGGAACTTACCTGGCTTTCTTGGGACTTCTGTTGAGATAACTTCCCTTCCTCTCCTTTTTCTGTCCCCACAGCCTCAGGTGACTGCTACACTTTTGGCAGCAATCAGCATGGGCAGTTGGGCACCAATGCTCGCCGGGGCAGCCGAGCACCCTGTCAAGTTCAAGGCCTTGAGGGGATCAAGATGGCAATGGTGGCCTGTGGAGACGCCTTCACTGTAGCCATCGGGGCAGGTGAGGGCGGGTAAGAGGTCCACAGGCTAAGGGGTGAATGGTGGGAAATCTGTGCTGGGGCCACTGGAATCAGCACTCTTCTGTGGAGCCAGTAGGGCTGTCTGGCTGTACAGCTGCTTGTTTAGCTGTGCCTCCCCTCCACTGACCTCCCTGGGATTCTCTCTGGCAGAAGGTGAAGTGTACTCTTGGGGCAAAGGGGCCCGAGGTCGATTGGGAAGGAGGGATGAGGATGCTGGACTCCCTCGGCCAGTGCAGCTGGACGAGACTCATCCTTATGCAGTGACTTCTGTGTCTTGTTGCCATGGAAATACTCTCCTGGCTGTGCGCCGTGAGTTCCCTTTTCCCAACTTGCCCACACAAGGGTTAATCCAGTTGCCCTTTGGTTCCTACCCCATCTCTAGCAATGACAGCTCAAATCACCAAAAGCATCTTTACCCCTCAGATGAATGAAAGCAGAAGCTGCAGGGTAAAATCCCCAAGCTTCTTGCTTGGATGGGCAGAAGTGGCTTTCTTGCACAGGATTAAGGGCTGCCTCACTACTCCCCAGGCCTCATGTGCATTCTTTTCTTACTGTCTGAGTGCACTGCTGGCTCTCTAGGGTCCAGTGGGAGTAGAGTGGGTGATGTTTGCTGCCCTCTGGGAGGCTTCAGGGGTTCTCTTTGGTGCTTTTTCCAGCCATCACAGATGAGCCAGTCCCTCCGTGAGGCTCCAGGACACACCTCTGAACCAGCCCAGTACAGTAATGCTTCTCTTCCCGAGCGTTCTGAAGAAAGGCATCAGTACTCTGGAGTGGTGGGGCAGGGCTGCAGCAGCTTTTGGCCCTGGATGGGGAAAGCTCAACACTGGCTTCCTTCCTTGCCCCTCTTTACTGGTCCTACTCATTCTTCTCTTATGGTGTTCCCAGATCCAGCCTGGCTGGAGTTTAAGACTGAGATACTACCTTTGGTGGTCTCTAGAGCCTTACTAAGAGGCATCTTTGGCTTTACCCAGTTCCTGTCCTGTTCCTGCCCAGTTAGAAAATGTGTTCCCTGGTGAGGGTTGATGGCCTGTGATCTCAGCTACTACTGTATTTTCAGTTGCTGAGGCAGGAGTTAAAGTCTAGCCTGGGCAGTTTAGTGAGCACTTGTATCAAAAGAAAAAAAAAAAGTTTGTCACCAGTGGGCCATGCTTCAGAGCAGAGCAAGTCAAGGCCTGCCTGCACTGGCCATTTAGTCCTGCCTAACCTCTGCATGGCCTGGAGCAGGGAGGTCCAAGGGACCCCATCACCCCTTTATCCTGAGGCAGGATTTGCACAACTTCTGAAAGCCTTCCTTCCCCTGCCAGAATGCTAGAGTCTGGAAGTGGCTGCAGAGAGGATTCTTGGCTAGATTACCTATTACCCCAATGCTTTGCCTAGACTAAGGTTTGTAGTAAAGGTAGCTAGCAAGACCAGACCAGTTTCTCAAAGGACTAAAAGTAGCGCTAATAAAAAACAGCAACTGCCTGCCTGGCATATGGTTTCTTCAGGGGTGGGGATAAGGGTGGGGATGGCAGCAGGGGACTGGGCTGGGCTCCATTGCGGTTGCGGGGCCTAGGCAGTTGCAGGGCCGCAGTACAGGGAGGAATGTGGGCGCAGCCAGAGACTGGGGCCGAGGTTCCTCTGGCCCAGTGCCCAGCGCAGCCTCCAAGTCCCAGCCCGGCTCTTGGATCTGGTTGCCAGGCTTCCGCTGCCTAGCACCTGGAAGCTGAGGCCCCTTATCCCAGGGCCCCTGAGACCATGAGCTTTGGCCTCCGGAGAAGCAACGGTTTCTGGGGTGGCCCTATACTCACTCCCACCCGAGCGCTGCGCCCTATCTCAGTGCCAGGGCTCCAAGCTATGGAGAGGAGCAGAGCCACGCTGTCGCTCCCCTTTGTCGCCTACATGACAGGCCTCTACTTCCGTGAGTGGGCGAGCGCGACTCACTTTTGTAACCCAGGGCGAGTCTGATTGCCAGGGAGCCTAAAACTGATGGCTCGCTGGGTGGGCGGGGCGCTGGCAGGGCGGGCACTAGGACCGCGCGGGCGCAGTTCCGCCCCCTCTTCCGGCGGGCGGGCTCGCGAGCAGAGCCCCGGCCGCGGCTGCCATTCGGCGCCGCCCGGAGCCGAGTGCGGCCGGAGCGAGGCGCGGGCTGTGGGGCCGCCGCGTGCCCGGCCCCGCTCGCCCGTGCCCGCCCGCCATGCCCGGCTTCGACTACAAGTTCCTGGAGAAGCCCAAGCGGCGGCTCCTGTGCCCGCTGTGCGGGAAGCCTATGCGCGAGCCCGTGCAGGTTTCGACCTGCGGCCACCGCTTCTGTGACACCTGCCTGCAGGAGTTTCTCAGGTGTGGCTCGGGGACAGCGGGGGACGGCCAGGGCCGCCTAGGGAGTGCACTGCATGGGGAGGGGCTCAGGCCCGAGGCTCGCCGAGCCTTTGTCTTCGCTGCGGCCCCTTGACCTCGAGGGCGCCCACCGTGACGTCACGGGACCCCGGTGACGTCAGGCCCAGGGAGGACCCCAGTGGGGTCCTGGGTTACAGGTCGGCTGGACTCGGTGCCTCTCCGCGGCGCCGGAACGGGAAAGACGCTAAAGACGCCCTTTCTGACCCGGGATCGGCCCTTCCCCCTCACCTGAGAGCCAGGGCGGCCTCACCCTTGCACTGTGACCCTTTAGGAGGAGAGGGACAAAACCTTCTCCGCGGCGCAGCACGTTACGCTTCTGGAGTTTTCACCGCCTAACCGTTTGCGATTCTTCGTATTCTCAGAGGACGGCCACTATTGTTCTCCCATTTCACAGATAATGAAACGAGAGATTGAAAGAAAGGCTGCGACTTGCCCAGGGTCACACAATTGACGGCATAACTGGGATTCGAGGCTGGGGTGCTTGCAGGCACACAATGGAGTGAGGACTGTGACGCCACCGTGCTTTCCTTAAGCGGGAATCCCTTGGGCGTTTCTCCCCTTCCTCGAGGGTTTTGAGTCCGAGAAGGGGCGAGTGGTAAAGACGGGCGTTAAGGAGGGGGTCGCACCTTGGTTGCTGCTGGTCTCAGGTGGGGTCAGCAAGGGTCTCAGGCCCTTTCTGGACCGGGTCAGCCCTGCCTCTGGGACATCTATCAAGTTCCTGGGAATCCCATGCTGTCTTGAATCTCCCGCCCGCTCTGGGAACCGCTCAGGCCGGCGTGTAGGGAGGGGAGGGAAGGGAAGGGAAGGAGTTCTCGCTACTGACGAGGTCGTGCTCTCGGAGCACTGGCCAGGCCGGGACAGCAGCTGTCCGAGGGCGCCTTGCCGTGCCCAGAGGCCCAGGCAGGGAGAGCATCGCCAGGACTCCTGCGTTAGTGCTCCCTCCCTTCGGCCCTCCACAGCCCCCGGCCGGCGGAAATCTCATCAGCTCTTCAGGCTCTTTGTTTTCTGTCCCCGCAGCCGCCCCACTCTTGCCCTCACACATGCTCCTGCTCAAGCTGCTGTGCTGCCCCCTCCTCCTTCCCTCTCTCAACCCTCCTCCCTGCAGTATACACTGAACTCCCCTACACACGCAAACACTTGCACTCACACACACACTCGGCCCATTGTCTCCTCCGCTGCCCTTCCCAGCCCTCTGGTTGCCAGATGAGACCAGCTGAGGCAGCCCTCTCCAGCTGACCCTTACCGCCTAGGGAAGAAGGGGGGCGCTGTCAGGCCTTTTCCCTCCACAGCCCCCTCTGCTGCTTCTGCCCCTCCCCCCCGGAAATCCCCTCTTCCTCTCTAACAGCCCCCTCCCCCCATCCTGTCTTTTCCCCTGGGCTTGGGCCTCCATAGCACAGTCTGGAGGAGCTTCTGCCCCTGCCTCTCCCCTTCCCCCAGCTCTGGATCTCCTGCAGATGCCTCTGGCAGGAAGAGTTGCTTGTGTCGGTTCTGCCCCTCACCACCACTGCGATCTACAAGCTAGGATGGCCATATTCCTGGCAATCCTTTGTCCTGGCTGGGCCCCAGGTTGTAGGGTAGGCTGCCTGAAGCCTAGGGACTTGTCTTAGACCCCTCCCTGTCTCCCAAATCACTAAGTCAGCACATTCCTGAAGCAGCCAAGTGGACCCCCTCCCCCTTGGTCCATCCTTCTTTCCCCACTCCTGCCAGGGCTATTACTCAGGTTGGACCGGGAAGACTGCTTGCCTTATGGGTACAGGCACACCCCTTCGGGGCCTGGGCATGTATTGATCTTGGCATTGGTGGTGGGGGTAGTAGGCTTAGGGAGGAGGTGGGTGTTAGAAATCATTTTAGGGACCTGGAGCAGCATGGGCTGCCCAGGTCCATGGAAAATGCTTTCAAAACAGAGCTGCTGTACAGCCTCTACTTCCGCCTCGATGGTTGCCTGCCTCCTACCCACCTGACTCAGGCCTACCAGGAATGCCATGCCTGGGGGCATTCAGTCCTGCTGGGTGAGGCCGTCTACTACCTGGGCCCTGCCCCCAAGTGTGATTGGTCCTGGCTGGGGTCAGCAGGGACGCGTGGCAGGAGGAAGAATGCCACCAGCTTCCCTGGGTGCTACCAGCCAGATGGGGCTTGGTGGAGCAGGCAGCTGGCAGGGCACAGGGTCATTAAGCTTCGGGAGCCTAGGGAGCAGGAACTAGACCTTGGCTGCAGTCGGCTGTGCATTTTGGGTTGCCCTGGCCTCATTCTGTGCTGTGTGGGTAGGAGAGCCAGGTGTGCTGCGGAATCACACAGATAAACGCAGATGCTGCCTCACCTGTCAGCCTCTGGCACTGTCACATTTCAACCCTTCTCAGATGCTGGTGGGTAAGACAGTGCCAGGAATCTTGCCTTTCTTCTTAAGACACATGCTAACAGAGGAGGGGAGGAATGGTGAAAGGTGGCCCCAAACTGACCTTTGCCCTGGATCTTGGCATGGCCCCTTGCTGGGGGCTGGGCAGCCCTGGCACTTAATCTCAGCCCATCCCTGTGCACTCTCCCCATCAGCTTTCAGCCCAGCCAGTGAAAAACAGCCCCAGGGAGAGAGGGGGTAACTGGGCAGCTTGTTTCTTTCCTAGTCCAGCTGCTATCCTGGGGGATGGGGTGCCAGCTGCCACCTGTTGGCCAAGTGCTGTTGGAGACAGCTGTCTCTGCTTGCACTGAGCCCTGGATACTTCCAAGACAGGGCTGGGGTCTTTTGGGGCCCTGGAGGACTGAGTCCCCTCATGCCTCTGCTTGCTTCTTTGTCTCACCTGGGCTGGGAACCGGTCTGGTGAGGGAGGGAGGCAGGCTGCCCTGCTTGAGGGGGTGGGGCCCCAGCTCTCTCCCCTCTGTGATGATGAATCTTGACCATGCCTTCTCTTTTCAGTGAAGGAGTCTTCAAATGCCCTGAGGACCAACTTCCTCTGGACTACGCCAAGGTAAGTCCAAACCACCAGGCAGAATTACAGGCAAGCCATTGCCCTTGGTGGGACCTGGAGCTGCCTGCAGCCAGCTGGCTCAGAGCCAGTGTCAACCCAAAGCCTTGGCATTGCTTGCCCCCACAAAAGTGTCCTGTTCTCTCCCACCAGGCTAGTTTGCAAACGGAGGACGATGTTTGCCTTAGAGGGCAGGCACAGTGCCCAGTCTGTGGGGGTGCACAGAGCTGCTCTGTGCCCACAGAAGTGTTTCCTCCCCTTCCGGTGGCAAGTTGGGCCTGTGGCTGAGTGCCAGGACCCCTCCACCAGGGGAAGGAGGCCAGATGGGGGGTGCACTTTGGGACTAAGCAGGCTGATTGGCTGCCTCTCCAAAGGGAGCATTGTCATGTGCAGGCATGTTGAGGGCTCATATCCACAGTCAAAGCAGACATCACCTGCTGTACCCTTAATCCTTGGGCACAGCGCAACAAATAGTCTGAGGGGCCTTGGCCTAAGAGAGGCCTTCATTGGCTCTGAGGTAAGGTCCAGCCCATATGGAGCTGCACCAGGCTCTGACTCTGGCCAGTTCCGTCTTCCCTGCCCACAGATCTACCCAGATCCAGAGCTGGAGGTCCAGGTGTTAGGTCTGCCCATCCGCTGCATCCACAGTGAGGAGGGCTGCCGCTGGAGTGGGCCGCTCCGACATCTGCAGGTGAGGGACTGCCAGGGTTGCCGAGAAGGGCTGGGGCTGCTAAGCCTTGGCAAGTGCTGACGGCAGCCTTTCTCGCCAGGGCCACCTGAATACCTGCAGCTACAATGTAGTCCCCTGCCCTAATCGCTGCCCCGCCAAGCTGAGCCGCCGCGATCTACCTGCGCACTTGCAGCATGACTGCCCCAAACGGCGCCTCAAGTGCGAGTTCTGTGGCTGTGACTTCAGTGGGGAGGCCTATGAGGTGGGTGGGGCCTGGCCAGTGCTTAAAGAGGATGGGGTGCCCGGTAGCCCGGGCATCCCTTAACTCAGACCTCCTGGCACTTCTACAGAGCCATGAAGGCATGTGCCCTCAGGAGAGTGTATACTGTGAGAACAAGTGCGGTGCCCGCATGATGCGGCGACTGCTGGCCCAGCACGCGACCTCCGAGTGCCCCAAGCGTACCCAGCCTTGCACCTACTGTAACAAGGAGTTTGTCTTTGACACCATCCAGGTAAGGTCTTTGCTGAGTGATGGATTGTGGGGCAGGTGACAGAGAATTGGGCTACTGACTGCTGCCTCTGCCTCTGGTTTCAGAGTCACCAATACCAGTGCCCAAGGTTGCCTGTGCCCTGTCCCAACCAGTGTGGTGTGGGTACCGTGGCCCGGGAGGATCTGCCAGGCCATCTGAAGGACAGCTGTAGTACTGCCTTGGTGCTGTGCCCGTTCAAAGACTCCGGCTGCAAGCACAGGGTAAGATGCCTCTTTTCTTTCTTGTGACCCCCTTTAGCCCTAGGAGCTGTAGATCAGTGGTGGTGAACCTGTGGCACACATGCCACAGTGAGCTGTTTGATCTGCTGTCATTGCCCTAGAGGGAGGCCAGGCTTTGAGGTGTGACCAGGTCTTAGTGGTCTCTGCTGTGAACGCACTAGTGCTTTCCTCTCTTGACCCGCTTCTGCTGCTGCCTGGCACTTCCTCCTGCAGACCTAGGTGCATGCTGTCCCATCCCCGATCATCTCCTGGGCCCTGGACCTTACCCACTGCTAACTCTCCCATGGCTTGGGGATTTGTCAACAGTGCCCTAAGCTCGCAATGGCACGACATGTGGAGGACAGTGTGAAGCCACATCTGGCTATGATGTGTGCCCTGGTGAGCCGGCAGCGGCAGGAGCTGCAGGAACTGAGGCGGGAGCTGGAAGAGCTCTCCGTTGGCAGCGACGGGGTGCTAATCTGGAAGATTGGCAGCTACGGACGGCGGCTACAGGAGGCCAAGGCCAAGCCTAACCTGGAGTGCTTCAGCCCAGCCTTCTACACACACAAGTATGGTTATAAGCTGCAGGTGTCTGCATTCCTCAACGGCAATGGCAGTGGTGAGGGCACGCATCTCTCTCTCTACATCCGTGTCCTGCCAGGCGCCTTTGACAATCTCCTCGAGTGGCCCTTTGCCCGCCGTGTCACCTTCTCCCTGCTGGATCAGAGTGACCCTGGCCTGGCTAAGCCACAGCATGTCACTGAGACCTTCCACCCTGACCCAAACTGGAAGAATTTCCAAAAGCCGGGCACTTGGCGAGGTTCCCTGGATGAGAGTTCTCTGGGCTTTGGATACCCCAAGTTCATCTCCCACCAGGACATCCGGAAGCGAAACTACGTGCGGGATGATGCTGTGTTCATCCGGGCCTCTGTTGAACTACCCCGGAAGATCCTCAGTTGATCGCAAAGCTGATAGGCGTGAGGGGAGAGGGGGATGGAATGTGACCTATCAGGCACTAGCTGAACTGGGAAAGGGGGCCGGACCCCCTCTCAGCTGCTTTCTGCTGCCTAGGTTCTGTTACCCCAGTCTCCCCCTACCACCACCACCCTCAGGTGCCTCCACTTGGTGCTTCAGCCCTGGCCTGTGGGGAGAGCAGGTCTCGGGGTTATCAAGGGCTGGAAACTAGCAATCCCAGGGCCAGTGCCCCTTCCTGGGCAGAGCAGACATGCCTTGGTGCCGGCCATTATCCTTCTTGGACTGAGGTGCCTGCTCGGGTGCTATGTCCCAAGAGCCATATGCAGGGGAGTCGGGAAAGGGAGCGATAGTTAAAGAATCTGTCTTGAGATTGATTCCCCTTACCTTTCCCCAGCTGTGTCCCCTCTGGTTATTTATTTCCTTAGTGCCAAGAGGGCACAGCAGGGGAGCCTTGGTTTTTAATAAATCCTGAATTCTATTTATTAACTTGGTTCCAGCCTGTCTCATCTGGGTTGGTTGGGGCCTTCGGAAGCTGGGCCCAACTGAAGGCAAAGGAGCAATGGGAGAAGAGTTCTGCCTGGTTGGTGGAAGGATCCAGCTGCCCTGTTGGACCTCCATCTGGTGGACAACAGAACTGTAGTCTTTGTGGCTGTCGTCTGGCACTGCCCTCTAGTGGCTGGATGGAGGCGTTGCATGGATTGTCTTTTTCGTTTTTATCTGTACCAGGGATCGAACTCAGGACTGCATACTTGCAAGGAAGGTGCTTATGCTGCTGAGCTAAATCCCCAACCCGTGGCCTAACAGTCTTAAGGCTGAAGTCTTGGGCCCACTTTTTGTTGGTCAGTGCCTAACATTCATTGTGTACTCCTCCCGCCTTTTTTTTTTTACTGCTGTTCTAGAACAGCAAAGCTTTGCACGTGCCAGGAAAACACTGTATCACTGAGGTGAAGGCCAGGCTTTTTTTGTGTGAGACAGTTTTGCTATGTAGCTCTGCAAGTTTCAGAGTCTTGTTAGTTCTCCTGCCTCAGCCTCCTGAGTGCTGAGCTGGCAGTCATGTGGGCACTCCAGTGGCCAAAGGACTTATCTTTTTTGAGACAGGGTCTTGCCATGCAGTTCAGGCTGGCCTTGAGCTCACTTTGTACCCTAGGCTGGTCTCCACCTTGCAATGATCCTCCTGCCTGAAAAGGACCTATCTCAAGTATGCATCAGTGGAGAGTTAATGAGGCAATACATGTTTCTGATACATACAGTAAGTGTTTAATGATTGATAATTTGTGAAGTCTAGCCCACAGCTAAGGGGGCCTTCAAGATGTACAAGGCACTTCTACTTTTCTCATCATTTTTTTTAAACACAATCTCCATTTGTAGTATAGGCTGCCCTTGAGCTTGTGTAGCCCAGGCGAGCCTCAAATTCACTACCAGCCTCAAATTTGTGATAATCCTTCTACCTCTGCCTCCAAATTGCTGGCATGTGCCACCATGCCTGGCAGTCACTGGCTTTTTGTACAGGGATCAATAGGTTCCTATGGTTAGCTGCATTTGAACTAGGACCAGAAAAGTGAGTTATCAGTGCTCCCTCAGCTGTTTGGGGGCAGGAGCTAGGCGGGTTTTCTCTAGTGCTGGATATGCCCTCTACCGAGCTCCAGCACCACACTCTGCATGTTTTGAACTCTAGCAACCCCAGAAGTGTAGTTTCTAGTTTTGGCAATACATTTGGATTTGTTTTGGCAGATCAGTTACATGGAACACTACTGCCCCCACTGGGAAAATGAGTTCTGCATAGTTCTAGGTTTTGTTGTAGAGACTAAGCCTAAAGTATTTTATTCTTGCCTCGCCTTGAGAAGAGGCCCAAGCTATGGGAATTACCTGTAAAGGAAAGCTCATGGGCAAATCTTCCTTCCACACAGAGGGTGAGGTGAAAAGGCCTTTATCAGATGACAGGATAGGACAGCCAGAGTCTGCTAGCCTAGGGGAGCTCTATAGAAGACCATGGGGTTCACCATCTGGGGCAAATGGTCCCTCATCAAACCAGCTGGGTACAGTGATACCTAGAAAATGGCAGGGAAAACTGTGAGTTGTAGTGAGGAGCTGCTTCTGGGGGCAGGAGGCAGTCACCTTCCTAGCATCTCAGTGGGGCCTTGTGGCTGAACCCATTCACAGCCAGCCTGGTGGGTTTGGTCCTCTTTCCAGTGCCAGTCAGATCTTACGACACACTGAGCCAGGTTCCACATCACAGTGTGAGCTGGATTCCTCAAACACCTAGCTCAGCCCATGCTTGTACTTGGGCAGGCTCCAGGTCTTATCAGTACAGGGCTTTCCTAGGGTGGCATAAGGAAGGAGGCAAACCACTTTCACAAAAGGGCACCCACAGAGAAGGGGAGTCCACGGAGAGGAGGATACTTTTGATCTCCACCAGTCTTCAGGAAGTTCCTATCTAAATCTTGCTACCAAGGGTTTGATTTCCTCTTCCCTGAATCAGTCCTGCAGCCTGTAGTATCAATCTTTGGATTTCCATCACATTTTGGCTTAAACCCAAATCCAGAGAAAAGGGAGGAGGGTAATTTAAATTTACCATTTGGTTTGCTTCCCCTGTGGATAAAAGAAGGGAAGTTGTCCTACTCAATACATGACAAAATTCCAATCACAAAGGGCAGGGCAGTTTTCATGTTACAGACTACAGCACTCTGTACCTCCACCCATTGGAGGCCCTTAGAAATTGGTGCTGGAGGAAGAAAGGTTTGAGTTTTCCCACTGGGCTTTACTGGCAAATATTACCCATTTCTTTGATGGCCCTTGGAGGAAAATGAGGCAGAATGCTCAGCCTCCACTGAGGTCACAAACCACACTCCTCCCCTTAGTTGCACGCTAAGGCTTTAGCAATCCATGGGGAGGGGTCCCCCTTCCTCTAAGGCTGCTGACTGAACTGGCTAGCAGCCCTACCAACTGCCCGCCCCCCTTTACCTGAGATAATGAACCACACAAAGGAAGTATTTCCATTCTTTTTTGGGGTGTTGGGGATTGAACTCACAACCCTGCATTTGCCAAGCAGATGCTTACGCTGCTAAGCTAAATCTCCAGTCCCAAAATTGATTTTTTCTTTTTTTTTTTTTTTTGGTACCAGGGATTGAACTCACCACTTCCCACTTGCCAGGCAGGTGCTTATGCCACTGAGCTAAATGCCCAGTTCCTAGGAGTCCCCTTCTAGATAAGAAAACATCACCTCAAACATTCATTGCATTAAACGAATAGGACAAGGTCAAAAGGTGAGTTTTTTCTCTTTACTGGTTTATAATAATCTTAAAAACCCCATCACACCCATAAACCACCACAGGCGAGGTGAGAGATGGAGAATGAATGCTACAGTATGTGGATAGAGTGGGGAGTCCAGGTTTCTCCTAGGGGTGGCATGGGATGGAGGCAAGGAATAGACAGGAGGCCCTAGCTTGGACCCTTATTGCTGGTTGGGGTTGGCTGGCTGAGGGGCAGGGACTCAGGCTGAACTAGGTGAGGGCAGTTGGAGGGGGTGCACAGTACATTTTCCATGCAGACTAAGGGTGGGAGTGAGCTTCAGAGACTTGCACCCCTACAAAGGAAGATGGGTTTGAGGTTGTCTGACTTAAAGCAAAGTTGGTATCTGGTCCAGTTTCCTGCAGTGGTGGCTCACCTTGTAAGGAGAGGCTGTGTGAGGGGGAGGACTTCAGCAAGAATGTCTGATTTGGAGATCAAGCAAGAGGTATGGGAGACAGCAGTGCTCTTTTGATTCCAAAAAGCAAGACATGAAAGGGGACCATGGGAGAGACGGTGGTCAACACCTGGGGAGAAGGCATTGCACCAGAGGCTTCAGAGGCTCCCGAGGGCTCAGGGACAGCAAGGTGACAGTGTTTACAGACAGCAGGAAAACAACTGGGACAATAAATTAGGATTTCAGGTTGCTATCATTTGGCTTAACACAATCAGGTGATTTTTTTTTTTTTAATATAAGGCAACTTGCCAACACATAATTTAAAAACTGGTCTTCGGTCACACTTGTTCAGATCACTAGAGAATTTCTGGCTAAGGAAGAGGAGATAGTAAACAGAACCCAAAACTATAAGTATCCGCTCACATTTCCCAAAACTAGAGGAAAAGAGCTTATTTGGTTTAAAAAAAGAAAAAATCAGAGACTAACTGCATCTTTTAACAGAAGAGGGGTGCAAAGACTGTGCAATAAAATATAATCTAAGTAAAAGGTTACAGAGAAGAGATATATTTCTAGCCAACTACATCACTCAGGAATGAAACAGCATGGAACAGGGATGCTGCAAGGAGGGGCGGGGCAGGGCGGGAGGGCTGTCTCTGACCAGGCCCCTTTCCAGCAGATTACAACCGTGCTCACTTGGTAGAGGAAAACTTCAAAGAGCTTAAGGCTTTGTGTTTTTTGTTGTTGTTGTTGTTTGTTTTCCCCATTAATCTGAGGGGCTGCAAAAGGAGGTGATGAGGAGAGTCAATGTACCTGTGGGGCCACTCATACACAGTGCTACTCAAACCCACACTACATTCATACAGAAACGTGACACTTAAAACTTACAGTTTAGAGCAATATTCTTAGCCAGTGTAGGGAAAACCAAATGCATTTTTACTGTTTTTTCTTTTTTGGTGTTTTTAATTCCAAACTCCAATGTGATCATCCCTCATCTACCTAATTTCTCAAGTAAGATAGTTTTATTATTATTATTATTTTTTTGCTTTTGTGTGTGAGGGGGGGAGTAGGAATGAGAACAGCAGTTAAGACAGGAGACAGATAACCATAAGAGGCCGTGGTAAGCCAACTGGCCACTGCATTTCTCTAGAAGCAGAGTCAGGAACCAAGACACCAATAGAAAGATTTTTCTCCATTTTTCAAGGCTATGGTCTTGAGTAATGGAAAGGAGCTGGGGAGAGATGAAGATTGGATTAGTTTTGACTTGAGGTCTTTGGGTGAATAAGGAATTAGCTTCCAGAGCACCTGGAAAGTCTCGTTTCTTAATCCCAAAGAGTGAAGAACAGGGAGAGGTCAGGGGCCAGGCCTTTCCCTTTAGCCACAGCCCAGTCCACGGGAAAGAGGCAGAGGTTCAGGAAAGATGGGAGGATGGTCTGAAATGAGGTGGATGGCCCGACAGGCAGGCAGTGGAGAGAAGAAAAGCCTCTGGTCAGTCGGGGTCTAAGGTAAGAACACAAGTTGCCGGGGGGCGGGGGGTTAAGAGGTCCTCTCTCCCCAATTAGTTCCTGCCAAGTCCTCATCCATAGACATCTAAGAATGATCACACTGGAGAGTGAAACTCTGAAACTATCCAGTTACTTAAAAGACTAAACCTAGGAGGGTGATGGATGACATGATGATTCAGAAAAGCACCCTCCCTATCTATATCCCGGGTGCTGAATATGAAGACTTCGACTATCTGTAGGATCAGGGGCTCGGCTGCTAGGGGCTCGGTGAGCTTTGCTTAGCAAGGCCAGGCTCTGTTCTCGGAAGCAGGCCTGCTGGAAATCCCCACTCAGGTAATCCACTGTTTGCATCAAGCTGTTCTGGCTTGCCACTGGACCACCCCCAGTCCCTGCTCGGTAGTGGGCCCCAGGTGCTGCTGCACAGTCGAGGGGTGCACCTGTAGCCTGCCCACTATGGAACGGCATGGCAAGGTCCTGAGACCCCGAGCTGTCGCTATTGGGAGTGGGCAGGATGTTGTTCCATGGGGGTTGGAAGTAGTGACCATTTGGGTAAGCCAGTGGGGCTGCCAGGCCGTTGACTGGTGGGGATGGGGTTGGCTTCTCCAGGGGTGGCTTCAGATGGAAGGACTGTGCCAGGCAGAGTTCCTGCGGGTAGGCAGGGGCTTTGGCCACAAAGCCAGGCCCTGCCAACTCACGTCCTGCTGCATGCTTGCCTGCTAGGCCAGGTGCTGGTGTCCCACCAGCCTCGCTGCACATCTGTTGTAGGTGGGCCAGCTGGTGCTGGTTCCAGGCAACTGGCTTGAGGTCCCTAGGGTAGCCAGCAGGGGCTCGAGAGATGCCTGTGGGCAGGTTGACAGAGCCTGTGGCAGGCAGTGTGGCCGTGGCTGCGTGGGTGTGCTCCATGGGATTGACCACACAGGAAGGCATTGGTGTGGGGATGCTGTGGGTCGAGACCCGCGTGCTTGCATTGATGAGCAGACTGCGACTAATGGGGCTGGGGTTGGCGATCTGGCCCTCACACACTGAGGTAGTGCTGATGCCTGCCCTCGTCTGGCAAAACTGGTTGATCTGGTGCACGATGCTGCTCAGGTCCGGGGGCTGGCTGTGCTGCAGGGTTGCCGCCATTGAAAGGGGGATACTTGAGGTAGACACGGTCACATTCGGGGGGGCATCTGAGTCTGGCACCTTCCGGCCTCCATGCAGCAAAGGATTAGGGGGATGCTGGAGACCCTGGTGGGCCAGGGCCTGAGTGTGGACCAAGCCCTGGGTTTGGGCCATGGGCTGAGGGTGGCCCAGGCCCTGAGGCTGCTGGAGGCTCTGAGGGTGAGACAGTGCCTGTGGCGGCGGGATACCCTGAGGGTGCTGCAGCGTCTGGGCAGGGGCATGGGCCAGGGTCTGTGCATGCTGCAGGGCCTGCTGGCGGGCCAGAGCCTGGGCCTGGGGGTGGGCTAAAGTGCTGGGTGCCACAGTAGCATAGGGTGCCACTGGGGGGTTCATGATGGCCTCAGGGAGTAACCGGGCTCGGGTGCCGTCAAAGTCCTTGAGTATGCTTTTGGCTGGCACTTTGACAATGGCAAGCAGGCCTGCCTTGGTGGCAGCCTGAGTCGGGTAGGGGCTGTAGCGCTGGGCTGATGTGTCGAGGCCGTTCACAGTACGACGAACGTGTTTCCGCTGGGGAACCTTCACACTGTTGGGGAAGATTTTTATAGTCAGTGGGTTGTTTGCGACCTTCTTAGCATACGCGTCCAATTCGGCTGGGGTAGGACAGTGAGCAGTTCTCATTTTCTGTGTAGTGTCCCCTAGAGAGAGAGAGAGAGAGAGAGAGAGAAAGAGACAGAGAGAGAGAAGAGGGAGAGCAAAGAGGAAGGGAGCTCATCAGTGCCAAGGCAACCAGCTGGTCTAGATTCCCCTGTTGAGGGCGTGGCATGAAAATTCGGTTTTCTGCAACCTTTATTCTAGATCCAGCGTCAGCCCCCACAGTAACAAGTATTGTTAGCATTTAGGGGCACTGGTCCTTGTGCCAAGGGGTAGTCTATCGTAGATGTCCTCACTATGCTGTAGGAGGCAAGTATGTTTATGATCTCCATTTTATAAATGAAGTTACAAAAGATCAGAATAGTGAAATAACTTCCTAAGTCCCCTATCCTTTTTTTTTTTGAGACAGGCTTTTGCTATGTAATTCAGGCTGGCCCGGAACACATGGCAATCCTCCTGCCTAAGCCTCCCAAGTGCTGGGATCACAGGCATGAGCCACCACACCTATTTTGTTGCTGCTGTTTTTGTATTTTTTGAGACAGTGTCTCACTTTGTTCAGGCTGGCCTTTAGCTGACTGTGTAGCCCAGCTGGCCTTGAACTCACGGCAATCCTCCTCCTGCCTTAGTTGGGATTACAGGTGTACCCCACCACATCCAGCAAAGTCTCCTATCATGGAGAGCCAGAATCTGCCAATTCTCACGATGCCAATGATACAGAGAACTCTTAAGTTCCTAACGAGTCAAACTGACATGAGGGTTGAAGAGTTTAAGCAGGACTGAGTGACAGGGCCTTTGTTACTGCTAGGACTCTTCTCATGACACTCTGATAAGCCAATGAGAGTCACCTTTCCCCTTGTGCCTTGGCAGCTGGATACCATGCCCACTTGGCACCAGTGGACAGGACACTTTTTTCAGAAGCAGAGGAAGAAGCTGTGAACATCTCTCCCCACCCCCATGTCACAAGTTCACTTTTGTTTACAGTTTACTCTAGTGCCTGACTGGGTGAAGATCAAAAGGCTTTATTTATTTGCCTTTTGGAGAATGATGCAGCAGGGAGGAATTTGGGAAGAAGGGATTCAGCGCATCTTTGAGTCCTGAGAGTCAAAAATAGTCTGTATTTGCTCTATGTCAGCTGTCACTTTCCAAATAGAAAGAGGAAAACCTGCCTTCCTTTGGAGGCTGTGGAGAGACCCACTCAATGCATCTCATTAATGTTAACAGTCTCTTTGTTCTCATCTCCGGCTGCCTCCCAGCAGGGAGCTCCAGCGGATGTCAGGCTTCTAGTCAGAAAGGAAAAAGTTTCCAAAACAAGAGCTCTTTAAGGATGCCCCTTCCCCCCAAGGGGTCTCTGCTTTGTCCATTCTCCCTCTCTTAAAGGAGGGGACACTTCTGAGTATACTCAAAAGGTGCTTAATAAATGCTTGGATGAAAAAGTATGCAGTCTGCCTAAAGCATAAGGAAATGGGTTTGGCTGGGAGCCTGGGCTCAGCTAACTGACTCTGTCCCTGCTTCCTCTCTTACAGAAGCAGCCAGGACAGACCAAGGACCAATCTGCTGAATGCCCAGCTTGTGGCCTCAGCTGGTCTTGGCCCAAAGGAGACCCCATTCAAAGTAACGTCACTGAGCATCAACTGGAACAGAATCAGATGAGTGAATGTATCAGAAGGAAAAGGGCACAGCTGCCTGCGTTTGGTGGCATGGCTGGTTAGCTGGCAACCAATGCTTAGAAACTGCTGCTCTTGGAAGCAGAAAAAAGAAAGCTCAGGTTCAGAAGGGCAGCGAAATTTAGTCCCATGCTTGAGAAAGCTGATCTGAGCAAAAAGAGCATACAGAAAGGAAAACCTTGTGTTTTCAAACAGATGTGGTAGCTCACACCTACAATTCCAGCATTCGGGAGCCAGAGGAAAGGATTGCCTTGAGTTTGAGGCCAGACTGGGCTATGTAATGAGTACTCCCCACTCCCCCTAAAAGAGATTATCTCTAAAACTAATAGATACTGGGAAAGATATGCAAGGACCCTCCAAAGGGAAAAATGCAGGTGGCCCCTGTTTTTATCCTGATGAATAAAAGCAAAGATAAAAGTGGAATAATCTTGACACAGTGTTCTGCATTACCAAGGTCAAAAATTCATTCAACATGGGGCTGGGGATTTAGCTCAGTGGCATAAGCGCCTGCCTTGCAAGCAGGTAGTTAGTTATGAGTTCGATCCCCAGTACCGATAAAAAAGAAAAAGACAAAAAAAAAAAAAATTTCATTCAACATAATTCAACACCACGCTGGGAAAATGGCTTGAGCTACTTACATTTCAGGTTTTACAAGCCATTATGGTATGTGCCCTCACTACACAAGTCTGAGGTGCAGTGTGAAAGCAGTTACAATGTAATATAATAATAAACACGTAGGGATGGCAGTCTTCTAATAAAACTTTAATTACAAAAAATTTAAATGTTTATGAAATTTCTGATTTGGGGAAAGTCTTAAAAAAATATAAATGGATGGTGACAACTGATGACAGGAAGAAGGGCACAGTACAGAGAGGCCCAGAAAGCTTCATTCATTGCCGGTGTTTTCCTCTACCCATGTGGGTGGGCTTTATTCTTTAAAATCCAAGTGGAAGACAGTGGCAAAGTAGCAAGAGTTCCTTTGTTCCAAGTCAGTATCAGCTGTCTTGTTTTTGTTGCTTTTTGAAATACTCTGGCTATGCAGTTCAAGCTGGGCTCAAACTTACTAGTAGCCCCAAACGGCTGAAAACTCAGGATCCTCCTGCCTTAGCCTCCCAAGTACTAGAATTACAGAGGTGTGCCATCACGGCTGGAGCAGCTTACTGTCCCTAGCAGAGGTGACAGGGCAGCTTAGCCTCATTCAGGTGTATGGAATAGAACACTTAGCCACTCTAGTGTTCTTTGTCCTGCCACCTCTGATGGTGACAATGGTAAAAAGGATAAATAAAGAATCAGAATTAATGAAAAATCAGGGTGGGGAGAGTGAACACCAGGGAATAGAATCTTTGTTAAGAAAAATCCCAAGGGGGAAAAAAAAAAAAGAAAAATCCCAAGGATGAGGCAAGTACACTGTACGAAAAGGAGGGCACTTTCTAGAAACACAGGACCACCTGCCACCTTGTGTACCATAGTGAAACTCAACTTTTTTTTTTTTTTTTTGTACCAGGGATTGAATTTACAACCTCGCGTTTGCCAAGCAGGTGCTTACGCCGCTGAGCTAAATCCCCAGCATTTAAGTCAACCTTTAACAAAATATGGTTGTTTTTTTTTTTTTTTTTTTGGTACCAGGGACCAAACTCACAACCTTGCACTTGCCAGGGAGGTACTTATGCCATTGAGCTAAAGCCCTGACCAACAAAACATGCTGGTTTACCTCAACATTTTCCTTTCTCTATTGGGGCTTCACTATGTTGGTCAAATAGGCCTTGAATTCAAGGGTTCAAATAATCCTCCTGCCTCAGCTCCTGGAGAAGCTATACCTATTGGCATGTACCATCATGCCCAGCTTTTTCCTCAACACTTAATCACACATCACACTGGCACCTTTCTTTGTTCTGTAACATATTTCCCTAACTGCATAGCTAACATAGACAGCACAGATTTTAAGATGTGTACTTAAACTGGACATTGTGGTGCACACCTCAATTCCCAGTGCTCAGGAAGCTGAGGCAGGATGACTGCCATGAGTTCAAGGTCAGCCTGGCTACATAGTGAGTTCAAAAGCAGCTTCAACTACACAGTAAGACCCTGTCTGTAAGACCAAAGAAATGTACATTATAAATATCTGGTACCAACACTGTCACTGATGTGATAGGTAGATCTCGATTCCAACCCTGGCTTCCTTCTCTGCCTGCTGAGTCTCAGTCCCTTCTCAGTCAGCCACAGAAATGATACTCGCTTTCCTGCATCACAGAATTGTTACCAAGACCAAGAAACTCAACAAACAGGACAACGCTGTGTGACCAGAAACAAGTGCTGATAGCTATTTTTTTTTTTTTTTATTGGTACAAGGGATCGAACTCACGACTGCATACTTGGCAGGCGCTTATGCTGCTGAGCTAAATCCCCAGCCCCCGCTGATAGCTATTCATGAGGGCAAGTCTGCCTGAGTCTGCCCATGGATAGGACACAGCACACCAATAAGGAGCCCCCAGCTGCAGGGTCCCCTAGGCTTGAGTCTGAGCATGAAATGTGTCAGAAAGCACTGCTGTCTAGTTCAGGGACTACAAGGAAAGCTTTTTCTGAATCTAGCCTTCCTAGAGATGTGCCTGCTCATCCTCTTGTTTTAAAGGTCAGAAGACATGAGTGGCAGTATGTAACAGGATCCTTCACCTGGAGGGCACAGGTATGTTTCAAACATCAGCTGTGAAATCAAGCCTGAATATGAGTTCTAACTCAGTTACCGATAGTCAACTCAAACAAGGGACAAAACCTCTGTTTTACCCTGAAAAAGTAATTTCTATATGAAGTTACTAAGGAATGAATTGAAAACATGGGTGGACACAGTGGGGCACGGCCTATAGTCCCAACAACTTAGGAGGATGAGACAGGAGGATAGCATTTGACCAGGAGTTCAAGGCCAGCCCAGGCAACACAGTGAGACCTTGCCAAAACAAGTAAGCGACAACATACGTAAAAACACTGAACATAATGGCTGGCAAGCAATAAGTTCTCAATAAATAGTCAGCTATTATTTCTTTTTTTTTTTTTTTGTCTTTTTCCTTTTTATCAGTACCAGGGATCGAACTCACGACTGCCTGCTCACAAGGCAGGCGCTTATGCTGCTGAGCTAAATCCCCAGCCCCTTAGCTATTATTTCTTTAGTTTTGTTTTGTTGACACTGGGAATCAAATTCACGACCTGGTGCTTGTCAGGCCGCTGCTATACCGCTGAGCACTCTCTCTGGCCCAGGTATTATTTCTAGTATCTCCATGACTTTATCTTGTCGTTGGGCCAATTCTCCACAAGGGGGCAGACAGAAGCAATAAAAGACAGCTGGCTTTTATTCCAGGATCCCCTGGATCCAAGTACCTGCCACAAAGGAGGTCAAAGCTGCCATCTAAAACACAGTACAAGAACTAAGGACCCTGGGTGATTTCTACCGTTTATCTCCCTCCACCTCCTTCCCCTTTCCTGTGTGTGCATGTGTTACTGCCAGCTGAACTCAGGGATGCTCTACTTCTTTTTTTTGTTTGTTTGTTTTGTTTTTTAAACAAGGTATTGGAACTGGAAGGGATGCTCTACTTCTAAGCTAATACCCTCACCCCTGTTTTAAAATCTAGAGACAGGCTCTTAGTTGCCCAGGTTGGACTCAAACTTGTGATCTTTATGCCTTAGCGTCCTGAGTGACTATGAATACAGGCATGTGACATCACATTAGTCTCTTTCACAGGCTGTTTCTGTTTTTGGCAAGGTCTTGCCATGTAGTCCAGGTTATTCTTTTTTTTGGTATTAGGGATCAAACTCTTGATCTCGTGCTTGCCAGGCAGGCGCTTGTGCCACTGAGCTAAATCCCCAGTCCAGTCCAGAGTATTCTTGAACACACAATCATCCTGCTTCAGCCTCTTTAAAGATTAGGCTTTCAGTGCCACACCATGCCTGGCCACAATAAAAATTTTATGAACCAGAACCACATATCTGGATCCGGCACTAAGAAAAGACAAAGCAGAAGCTCAAGAAAGACAAAATTACAAAAAACACATTTCCTGGGGCACCAGGAGAGGATGTATCAAAGAGACATGTGCAAGCACAGAGGTCCAGAACTCAGGAAGATCACAGAGTTTGAGATCAACCTGAAGTACACAGAGAGATGAAGGCCAACCCAGAATATACAGCAACACCTGCCCTGAAAAATAAGTAAATAAATAATAAAAAATAAGCAATAAAAAATTCCAGTACCAAAAAAAAAAAAAAAAAAAAAAAAAAAAAAAAAAAAAAAGAAGAAGAAGAAGAAAAAAGCACATGAAACAATGGCACAACCAATCCAGAACAGGTCAAGGATGGCAATGACCTGTCCCCAATTGTGGTTTCTATGGCTTCTGGACTCATCCAAGCCCAACATGTTCTTTAACCCAGCCTCTCCTAGGGGAAATTACACATCAAGGATAGAAGATGTATTATACTCTCCCCACACAGAGAAAAGGCAGAGAGAAGACAAAAAGAAAGGACTGAGCTGGGTACAGAGATGTATACACCATCCCAGCAACTGGAGGATCACAAGTTTGAGCCCACACTACCCAATCTAGACTCTGTCTCAAAATGAAAAATGAGCCAGGTGTGGTAGTATACGCCTATAATTCCACTGCTTAGGAGGCTGAAGCAGTAGGGTCAGTGAGTCTGAGGTCAATCTTAAATACATAAGATGAAGGCCAACCTGTCCTGAAAAACAAATAAATAAACAATAAAGTAAGCAACAAGCAATAAAAATTAATTCTAATATTAAGAGAAAAGAAAAAGAAAAAAGGAGAAAGAGTTAAAAGGGACTAATTTCAGCAAACTGTGAGGTAGAACACATGGCCACTGAAGCTGTTAGAAAACTTACAATGCTGGGCTACAGGTCACACAGCCCACCTCTCGACCCTTGGTCCATCTCCCATACCTCAAGGTGACTTTTTGTTTGGCACCAAGAATTGAACTCATGACCTTGCACTTGCCAGGCAGGCGCTGTGCCACTGTGCTATATCCCCAGCCCAAGGTGACTACTTTCTAGTGTTAAGGATTAAACCCAGACTCTCGCATATATCACCAATCACTCTGCCACTAAGCAATAGCCCCAGCCCAAGCTAAATCTTAATATCTAAAGCATATTAAGCTATAAATGCCTGGTACCATTTACCCCACAGATCACAAGCACTGTTTCCTAGTTATAAGACTCCCTCCTAAGGGCTGGAGATGTGGCTTGCTAGGGAGTGCGTACTTAACACTCCTGAGACTCTGAGCTCAATTGTTAGCACCACAAAAAACCAAGACAAAAATATCTTCCTGAGAACAGAGTGCAGGAAAGTGCTGAACTGCAGTCACAAAGCTGTTTTTCTCTTTGGGACTGAAACTAGGCTGTACCAGCCAAAGTCACAAAACTAGTTTTTTATTCTAGTTTGCTTGTAGTACTAGAGACTGAGCCTAAGAGCTTTGTATGCTAGGCAATTGCTTTACCTACTGAGATACTCACCAGTCCTTGTTTATCACAAGACTATTTTTGCTAGATGTAGTGGCACACACTTTTAATCCCAGCACTCAGGGAGATAGGGCAGAAGGATTGCTGTTGAGTTTGAAGCTGGCCTGGGCTACACCATGAGTTCAAGACCAGCCTAAACTTGGTGAGACCTTGTCTCAAAAAACAAAAACAAAAAAGCAGCTTAAAAAAAAAATCCCTTTTTAATGTCACTACAGCTGATGGGCCATAGTCATAGCAGCTGCATGGCTAGTAGTCTCCAAAGGCGACAACTATGTTCTATTTTACTTTCCCTATAAATGTTTAATGCAAGCAGCTATGGATCACACAATACGATCTTTTATACCTTGGCGAGGAGGACAGCAGATGCAGGAAAGCTGAAAAGCACCATCAGATGTTATCATTTGGAAAGACTGAGGTACATGTAAGTATGACAAAAAGCAGCTGTTAGAGAGCAAATTATCGCCCCCCACAGAGAAGAGAAACCGGAGCCAGGGAAGATTGGAATCTCCGATACACACGTGTGTGAAACCCAGGGCATCAAGCATGCTAGGCAAGCACACTGCCACTAAGCTACACTCTCGGGCGATTTTTTTCTATTCCTGAGCCTACATTTGGGGACAGTGGTTAGAAGAGAACTCTAAAGGCAAATGTCTCTTCCTTTTCTTAAGACAGGGCCTTGCTAGGAAGTTCAGACTGGCTTTGAAGTCACTATGCAGCCTAGGCTATCCTTGAACTCATATGGGTCCTCCTGCCTCAGCCTTCTGAGTGTGGGATTATATCTTTTCTTGCTTTTTTTTCCTTTTCTTTTCTTTTTTTTTTTTTTTTTAAAAAAAAGATGAGTCTTGCTACACTGCCCAGGACAGTTTTAAACACATGATTCTCCTTTCTCAACCTCCCAAGCAGGTAGGATTAGAGTGGGCACTGTCTTCCTTTGATAGCACATCTCTAGGTGAAGATGTCACCATCTGTTAAGAAATCTAAAAGAAAGAAACTGAGCCTCTCTTTGTCATCGAATTGTATGTCTTCAAATGTTTCTGGAAAGGCTCAGTACTGGGCACAGGGCAGTTAGTGTACTTATGTGGATGGCCTGAAATACATACAGTTTCATCACTCAATCATCACTCAGGAAAAGAAAAGATAGGGCTGGTGTACAGTTCAGTGGTAGAAAGATTACCTAGCATGAATAAGACCATAAATTCAATCTCCAGCACAGAAAAAATAAAAATAAAATCCGGGCATGGTGATACACTCCTGTAATTCCAGCACTCTGGGAGGTTGAGACAGGAAGATTGCACAGGAAGTTTGAGCCCGGCCTGAGCAATTAGAAACTTAGCAAGACCCTGTAAAGCGTGGAGATACAGTTGAGTGTGAAAGTCCTGGATTGAATTCCACTACTACAAAATGAACTGGGGAAGGGAGGGAAAGGAAAGACGGAAGAAAGGAAGAGGGGAGAGAGAAAGAAATAAGAAAAAGAAAGAAAAAAGAAAAAAAAAAAAGGAAGGGAGAGGGGAGGAGAGAGGAAAGGGGAAAGACTGTTACCTTCACCTTTGTCCTTTTACAGGGCTCAATTCAGCTGACAAGTTCAGAACTAGTTAGGTTCTAAGTCTCCCACTTCCTCAAAAGTCCAGCCTGTGGTGGCAAACACATGGCAAATGGGCCATACCAGGCTGCTACCACTGGAAGCCCTAAAAGGTTTGCCAGTACTGATATAGCTCTTCTGCATGCCTTTACAGTACTAGAGATGGAACTAGGGCCCTGTGCATGCTAGACAAGTGCTCTACCACTGATAGACGCCCCAGCCTGAGGCTAGACCATTTGTAACTTGTGACAATCTCATAGAACAGAAGTTGGCTCTGTTCTCTGCATGTCAGGTCCAGCTGCTGTGCTTTTACACTAAAGTTTTATTACAGCATGGCTGCACTTATTTATTTATACACTGTCTATGGCTGCTCTAGTTGAGCAGATGTCAGAGATTATGTAGTCACAAAACTAAAAACATCTGTTGTCTATTCTTCACAAAAAAATTTTGCTCACATCTGTCATAAAGGATTCGGGTAAGGTACTGAAGCACTTTATCCAATTAGAGAAACCTTACTACCTCACCGATTTCCCCTTTTTTCTTTGAAAGGAAGATCTTCTCCTAGTACAGGGCCAGAGAGAAAATATTTTCCTTGTACATCTTGTGCAGGGATAGAAGTAGGGAGATACAGGAGTATATGAACTATAATGTTCCAATTTTGACCAATTAAGACAGGAATCTAATAGTTCTCAAAAGCTCAATCCTATTTTGTAAGTGCAAACAAATGCCCAGAGAGCTTGAGAAATCCAGCTTCCAACCATGCTGAGTATCAAAGCTCTTTTACTTGCTGTGGACTGAAGTCATGTAGGCTGAGAAGGCAGGCAGCAAAGCCAAAAGGAATTGTTTCCATGGCACAAGGTGCAAAGATTTAAAACATACAATGGTGTAAATAAAATTATTTTGGAGACACAATAAATAACCTGGACTGCAAATTTTCATTAAATTGCTCATGAGGTCCAAGATGAAACATCTTTCTGAGAGGTGATTATTTTTCCTATAAAGCTCCCTACAGTTTTGTTATACAACAGGAAGCTAACAGCATTAAAATTAAGATCATACGCTGGGGAACTGTAATATTTAAGAGGGTTTCTCAGATAATAAAAGTGTCCCTCACTGCTGACAGGTAGGGCCTTTGCAGCTGTTTTCTTGCTGTGCCTGCTGACAAATACCTTGGAGGTATTATACTCAAGGTCAGAGTACCCCAGATGTGGCTCTGGGATAAAAGGGACAAAGCTAAAGATCGCAATCCTCCCCCAGGGAATATGGGTTACTTACATTTCTGAAGTCCAGTGTTCATCTGCGTGTGAGAAAGAAGCTGAAAGGACAGGTCCCCGGGCCCTGGCAGACAGGCGAGCATGGCAGACCAGCATCAACACAGCACAGGGCAATGGCTCACACTGCAGGAACAAGACACACAGTTGTGGGGCACAGGCAACTCAGCCAGGGATATCAGATAGAAGTCACACAGGCCCCAATTTAGACAGATAAGCAATTTAGTTAGCAACATGTTAACTGAAAATCTATTTACATCTTCATCTGTAGTAACAATCTGCTCCCAACCACTACTGTGGCTAAAATGATATTTCAGTCTGCACAGATGTGTAGGTGGGAAAAACAAAAACTAAAAAATACCTATTTATAAGATAACCAGAAAGTACAGGGATATTTGTAAAGTTTAAGCATTCTTGTGTTGTGTGTGTGTACATGTATTTTGAGACAAGGTCTTACTATGTAGTTCAGGTTGGCCACAAACTCATAGCAATCCTTCTGCCACAGCCTCCTGAATGTATCACTATACCCAGCTCGTTTCAGCATTCTTGAAAATTCTGGGCCTGGTTTGATCATTTATTATCCTGGTTGCAGGCCACCATACAGTCAGGCATTTCCAAATATAAACTATATGACTTTTCAAGGTACCCAAAGTCTGGCCTGGTCTGAACTTGTATTTATTAGTAGTATTACTATTGTTGTTATTATTTTGAGATAGGTTTCACTATGTAGCCCAACCTGGCTTTTTTTTGTCTTTTTCCTTTTTATCAGTACCAGGGACCGAACTCACGACTGCCTGCTTGCAAGGCAGGAGCTTATGCCGCTGAGCTAAATCCCCAGCCCCCCAGCCTGGCTTTTAACTCAAGGTGATTCACTGCCTCAACTTTCTGAATGCTGAAATTATAAGTGTACATCTCCAGGCATGGTTGAAAAAAAAATTTTTTTTTAAAAGAAGCACTGTTCGGACTGGGGATTTAGCTCAGCGGCATAAGCACCTGCCTTGCAAGCAGGCGGTTGTGAGTTCGATCCCTGGTACCGATAAAAATGAAAAAGACAAAAAAAAAAAAAAAAAAAAAAAAAGAAGAAGCACTGTTCTTGGAGTAGAGCAAAGAGCTAGTAAGCTACTAACAGCCCATTTTGACCAGAGATCCTAAGAGTGTTTCATGATAGCATAGATTCACCAGTGATGTTCACCAAACATACAACCCTGCTATAGTGAAGTCCTTCAAAAATACAGGGTCCATAAACCAGGTGTGGTAGCCCATGCCTATAATCATAGCAATTAGGGAAGCAGAGGCAGGAGGATGGAAAATCTGAGCCCAGGCCCGGCAACTTAGAGAGCCCTTGTCTAAAAACCAAATAAAACCACGAAACTTCCTTGTGTACCAGGAATAAGCTTTTCTCAAATACTGTAAGTAGAATGTAGTGAAGTATATGACATCTTCTCTACTACTGTGAAACTCAGAAATCAAAGAGATAATATAGTTCTCTGAATCACACACAAAAAAAGGAGTGGGGCTAAACAACTGCTAAACAAAGACCACAAATCCTTTTTATTTCTCAGGTATGTGAAACTACCTTGTCATGATGAGTATCAGAGAATTTCAGCTTGCAAGATCAGGTAACTGAAAAGACACTTTGTGAAAGAGGCTGCTTATATCATGTCTACGATAGCAGCTGCAGAAGGAACTGCAGTGAATGCCTCGATGAAAACAGAGCTGCCCAAGAGCCCTGGCACAGAGTCAGTCTTTTTAGATCTCTAGCGGGTGGGACATGAGGATGAACACAGTGTGCCAAATGCCATGCTTCAAGATATATAAAGGCTTCCGGTGTGGGTACACAACCAGGTGCTACTTAAAATCCCTTCCCTTGTAAATGCCAATCTCTGTTTAGTAACTTCCCTTATGTGGTCCTAATGTAGCTGAGGACAAATTCCAAGAAAAGTTAAGAAATTACCAAGTAGTTTTTATAAGGACATTTAGTTCATGACAGACTACATATATGACTGGTCCCACAAGATCATAATGTAACTGAAAAACTACTCGCAATCTTTCTATTTCAGGCTCCCAGTGTCCTGGCATTTAGGTATGTGCCACCATGCCTGACACGTTCCATATTTTTAGGCTGATACACCAAAATGAATTTCATTATTCCATACTACTAATGTGCACCAATTAAAAAAATAACCTTAGCCGGATGTAGTGGCATAATCTGTAATCCCAGCACTTGGGAGGCCAAGGCAGGAGGATCATTGCAAGTTGGAGACCAGCCAGGGCTACAAAGTGAGCAAGGCCAGCCTGATCTGCATAGCGAGACCCTCAAAAAGACAAAAGACAAAAGACAAAAAAAAAAAAAAAAAAAAAAAAAAGGAAACCATTACAAACAAACAAATCTATATGCATAGATATGATTAGTGCAGTACTACTTTTTTTTTTTTTTTTTTGGTACCAGGGATCAAACTCATGACTTTGCACTTCCTAGGCAGGCGTTTAAGCCACTGAGCTAAATCCCCAGCCTGCAGTATTACTTATTAAAGAATTACTTGTAAAAGAAAAGTTGGGGGCAAAAATAAAGTAACATTGGGGCTGAGGGTCGTATAAAAATTGTATTTTGTATTGTATTGTATAAAATTTGTATTGTATTGTATAAAAATACCATATCCCTTCTAGCCATTCCTTAATTGATGGGCACTTGGGCTGTTTCTACCATTTGGCTAGTACAAATTATGTTGCTATAAACATGGGTGCACATATATCACTGTGGTATATTTTCAGTTCTTCTGGGAAAATGCCAAAAGTGGGATAGCTGGGTCAAATGGAATCTCTAATCCTAGCTTTTTGAGGAGTCTCCACACTGATCTCTACAGTGGTTGTACAGCCAACACTCCCACCAACGGAAGAGAGTTCCTTCCCTGCTCCCCCCCCCCCCCCACGCCTCCAGCATTTGCTGTTGATTTCCTTTTTTTTTTTTTTTTTTGGGTCTTCTTGAGACAGGGTCTCTCTATGAAGTTCAGGCTGGCCTTGAGCTCACTTTGTAGCCCAGGCTGGTCTCGAACTCGCAACGATCCTCCTGCCTTAGCCTCCCGAGTGCTAGGATTACAGGCATGAGCCACTGCACCCGGCTCCGTTGGTTGATTTCTTAACATTGGTTATTCTTTCTGGGGTGAGATGGAATCTCAGTGTTGTTTTAATTTGCACTTCCAGAATGACCACTGATATTGAACATTTTTTCATATATCTACTTGCCATTTGTATTTCCACATCTGAGAAGTGTGTACTCATCTCAGATGCCCATTTATGGGTTGGGTCATTGAATTTTGGGGGCCTGATTTTTTAAAATTTTTATGTTTTAGATAAAAGTCCTTTGTCTGAGGGAGCCGACTAGGATATTCTCCCAACTTATGGGTTTTCTTTTCACTCTGTTGGAGATTTCTTTTGACATGCAAAAACGTTTTAGTAAGATGAGATCCCAGTTGTTGATTCTGGCAAGTATTTCCTGTGTAGTCTGATTTTTGTTCACAGATTCTCTGCCTACTTCTATGTAGTCGAGATTTTTACCACCTTTGTCTTCCCAGCAGATTTAGTGTTTCTAATATTTAGATCTTTGATCCATTTTTTCTTTAGTTCAGTGCACAGTGACAGACATGGATCTAGTTTCAGTTTTCAGCATGTGGAAAGCCAGTTTTTCCAGCACCACTTATTAATGAGGCTTTCTTCTAGTGTACAGTTTTGGCCTCATTATCAAAGATGAGGTGGCTGAGTGTGTAGTTATTGCTGTATCTTCTAAACTATTCCACTGACCTTCAGGTTTGTTTTTATTTCAGTACCATGCTGATTTTATCACAGTAGCTTTGTAATATAATTTCAAGGAATTGTGATGGTTCCTACTTTGCTTTTGTTACCCAGAATTGCCTTTGCTATTCTAGGTCTCTTCTGGCTCCAGATGAATTTTAGAGATAATTTCTCTAGATCTGTGAGGTATGTAAATGGCATTTTGATTGGAATTGCATTAAATCTGTGTAATAATTTTTGGAGAATGGCCATTTTCACAATACTTGTTCTTCCTACCCATAAACAGGGAATGTCTTTCCATTTTCTGAAATCTTCATCAACTTCCTTTTTCAGAATAATGCAATTTTCACCGTACAGATCTTTTACTTCCTTTGTTAGATTGATTCCTAAGTATATCATTTTTTTGGATGCTATATTGCAGGCTGTGGCTTCTCTTATTTCTCTCTTAGTGAGTTTGTTGTGTGCAAGAATGCTATTGAGGGGCTGGAGATTTAGTTCAGCAGCATAAGCGCCTGCCTGGCAAGCGTGAGGTCAAGAGTTCAATCCCCGGTACAAAAAAAAAAAAAAAAGCTATTGATTGCTGAGTGTTGACCTTGTATCCAGTTTCATTACTAAATCTGGTTATTATGTTTAGAAGTCTTTCAATGGAGCTTCAGGGGTCTTCTATGCAGAGTATCATACCATCTGCAAATAATAATTAACTTCTTGCTTTCCTATCCTTATTCCTTTTATTTCTCTCTTTTGTCTAATTTCTCTGGCTAATGTTTCTAGTGCTATATTGAATAGGAGTTGTGATAGTGGACATCTTTATCTTGTTCCTGATTTTAAGTTGAAAGTTTTCAGTTTTTGTCCATTTAGTAAGATGTTGGCTGTTGATGTATCATATATGGCTTTTATCAGATTGAGGTAAAGATCATCTAATCTGACTTTCTGTAGGGTTTTTTATCATGAATGAGTGTTGGATTTTGTCAAAAGCTTTTTCTGCATCTATTGAGATGATCAAGCGACTCCTGTCCTTCGATCTGTTGATACGGTGTATTACATTTATTAATTTGTGTGTGTTGAACCACCACTGCATTCCTGGGGTAAATCCCACTTGATCGTGATATATAATCTTCTTGCTGACTTGTTGCATTTTATTTGCCAGTATTTTGTTGAGGATTTTTACATCTATGTCCATTAGAGTGACTGGCCTGTAATTTTCTTTTCTGGTTGGGTTTTTCATTGGTTTTGACATTAGGATAATGCTTACTTCCAGGAAAGAAGGAGACTTATTTCTTTATTTTACTCAACAGTTTGAGGAGTACTGGTATTAAGTCTTCTCTAAATTTCTTGTA